AATCGAAATCTTTGCTTTGAGGGGGGGGGGGGGGGGGTGCAAATCGAAAAGTTTGTCCCCGGGTCGCTACGCCTCTGCTAGGCGGGGTAGACGTGCTTCTGGGTGTCTGGGCTGACAGTGCTGGAGTAGGTCTGACTGATCCTCATCTGCGATTGTCTTTTTAATTTATTAGCAACTCCACACATAAGACAAAAGCTCAAGTTCTAGATCTGTTAGTAGTTGATGCCGGCCTAATTCTGCTCACCGATGACCCGTCTTTGTCAATGGTCGTTATTTAAGCCCTCAGCTATTTCACAATTCTAGAACTGCAGTCATGGGAGACCTAACCATAGGGCTAGTGCAGGGTCGGCAACCTACGGCTCGCGAGCCGCATGCGGCTCTTTTGATGTCAAAATTCGGCTCTCCAACTCTTTTCACAAATATTAATAATTATATTATTTCATTTTCAAAATTCAAAATAAATATTAGGCCTACACTGTAAAGAAACACAACTTTAAACAGGATAAACACACTCATCAGAGAACAGTGAGAATAGGTGCAGTAGAAAGTATACGGACAACTAACAGCCGCTTGGGCACCAGGCCCAGCCCTACATCCGTGCTGTAGACAGCCCCATGACAACAATTCCATTCTTGCCACTGCCAAGTGCCGACTTTTTCGAAATCTTTGAATGGGGAATGTTATTTTATTCAGAATGCATTCCCCTATCGGTCAGTAATCATTAATTTGATCTGAGTGACGTAGTGTTTTAGTTATTAGCTTCCTACGGTCGAGCTGGGTACTGGACGGTGGGGTACGAGTTTACACTGGGCTCTGTGGGGTGGAAGATAAGCCTAGTGAGAACCAAAGGACAGAAGTAATCGATACAAGGTAATCAAACCGATATCCAAGGACAGTTAGTCGGAGTTTGTCGTGTTGAGGCCTGCCTGGATAATGGCAGATGCCTCCTGAACCCGTGATTTTTTTTTCTTCTTTTTTTTTTTTTGACCAATTTTTAATATAAATGAACGAACTAATAATAAGTATCTACATGGTTCTCATATATGATGATATGTTACTTTACAAAATTTAAAGGGATGAGCCCGTGATATCCGTAAAGACAGAGAAATAATTATTTATTTAATATTACATGATAGGGATATTCCTATTCTTATATTATTTGATTACTAATTTTATTACTGTAGTGAAACGTGTATGTTTTATATGAATAAATATTATTTCATATTTAAAGCTATTTATTTTAATAACAAATCAAATTTATTTACATAATCCAAATCAATTATCATATATTGAAAAAAATTGTGGCTCTTTAAAAACTGGAAAATTTTGTAAATTGTAACTTTTGGCTCTTCCGTCTCAACTTAAAAGGTTGCCGACCCCTGGGCTAGTGGGATGAGTGACTTCCCCTGGAGTGCCTAAAATGCTAGTTAGTCTGCGGAAAAGTATAAGATTAACATAACTCAATATTAAATATATAATTAATTAGTTCTTATGAAATAATCTGTCAGTTAATTAATAAGTCATCTAATTTAAAAGAATAATCCGTAGCAGATGGTCTCTTGGTCGCGACCTTCCCTACAATGTCCTACACAAGGGGTCTCCAAACTACGGCCCGCGGGCCGAATGCGGCCCGCGAGATCCTCTCGTCCGGCCCGAGGAGATCTTTCTGTCCACGGAAAAAAACGTTTGTTGGTGATGGCTGAGGAACTTTGCTCAGAAAAATCACGACATGCCTGGAAGAAACTGGCCCCCGAATTGAAATTTGATAGTTAATGCGGCCCTCGGACTGAAAAGTTTGGAGACCCCTGTCCTACACTATGCGGTGCCTGGGGTACAGCCTACATACTCAGTAAAGATTATGATATGTAACGCTATGCGCGTGATTAAGGACACATTTGTTACTAATGTGAGCAGGTGAATGGATTATTTATTTTGTATTAATTTTATTTGTTGCGAATCTGGGAGTGCATGGTGGTCCCATGGGGAACAGGCCACGGGGTCCCCCTTCCGTCCGAAGTGGTCAGTATATAAACTGACCACTCGGATAATTTCTTCCTTTTTTTGACCGCCAGAATGTAGGTCAGGTCAGCTTCTGTGGTCGCGCTTTGTGCGTTGGAGTGAGGTTGCTTGGGCAACTTGGCTGGGTGTTTTGTTATATATGAATTGTTTTGTTTGGTGTAAAAAGTTTGTTGTGTACGTATTGTGTTCTACGTAATGTATTGTACGTAGTGGTTTTACGTAGTGTTTTGTTTGGTGTGGACTTTTGGATGTCGAGAATGGATGAAGGGAGGTTTCTGTGTGTCAGGGCCTGGACCATCCTAGACATCATAAGTCGGCGCAACACCAGCAAATGGTCAAACGTAATGTTTTGTTTGATGTAAAAAGTTTGTTTCGTTTGGTTCTGTTTTGTGTCAGTTTTATCTATTCTTTTTTTATAACTTTTGGTTCCATATTTTGTTGAATAAATCTATATTAGTCATTCTTGATAAATAAATTTTATTAACTGTAAAAGTTTTTGTTTTATTTTAGTAGCTTATTATTTAGACTAAGGTTAGGGTTTAACCACTGTGGGTTCTACCACGGTTGCACTGACCGGACAGATTAGTTAGTTAAGCCTAGAAGGGTAGATTTTAAGGTATCCCCCCCTAGCAGGGCTAACACTAAAATATCCAAAGCAAAGGCATAGGAGTATATGGAGGATAGACACCCCCCCCCCCCCCCACCACCAATTGTTATCCAACGTTTTTAACTAGATTCTAGATTATAGCCCCAAATGAAAAATAAGAAAGATAAAAATAAAAACTTTCAAAATTTAAAAAAAAAAAAAACTTGGCAGAAAATGAAGCAGACGGTAATGCAAATAATTGAATGTCAGAAAGATACTTGATTTTCTACGCTAGATGTGCTTCACGTCTCTGTCAGTTTGTTACGTTAAAGATGATGATGAAGATAACACTTAATTTGTTATTGTAAAGTGAACTTAGTAGACATCGTTATCAAAATGTTTTCCTTGTCTTGTCTATTAACCCCTACATTACCCTTGTGTCGTAACTTAAGCTACAAACAACAGTTTAATTAATCTAGCCTAATCGATTATATTGAATCTTTGACTAACTGCTGATTACATTTTCGAAAGATGAATAAACTAAAAACAAAAAAAAAAAAAAAAGAAGAAGAAACGAATCAACTTTATTTTATGATTTTAATCAATCCCAAGTGTCTTTACATTTCCCCACTGCAGAAATATCAGCACATGCAGTAGCGTAGCTAGGATTGTTGGGCCCCTATGCAAAAAGTGTTAGTGGGCCCCTCAGAGGCGTAGCGACCCTTCCCGGCGACCGGGGACAAACTTTCGATTGCACCCCCCCCCCCCCTCACTCAGACTTTCGATTTGCACACCCCCCCCCCTCAGACTTTCGATGTGCACCCCCCTCAAACTTTCGAAAAAGGTCCCCTATTTGCCTCGGACCCCTATGCCTTGCTTACGCTAGCTTTACGGTAGCTCCGCCACTGAGCACATGTCCGTGACGCACATCACACTTTAGATTATCGATCTTCGGCTTTTAATTTTTGTCCCATTCGTTGCTCACCAACAGAGGTTCAGACCACAGGCCTAGACCTGAGCCACGGGGGGGGGGGGGGGGGGGGGGGGGGGGTGGGGGGGGTGAGCCACGGGGGGGGGGGGGAGATCGATGGGTAACCACAGCGTGTTGTCGTCTTGTTTATCCCGTCATCACTAGAGCGCGTGATTTCTTCATAATCCGTGTTTATTTATTGCTTGACTTTGACCGCCAGTGGACCGATGCATTGATTCAAATTTTAAAACGTCGGGATGGGTGAAGTGGGGGGAGGGTGTTGTATACAAGATGAAGGAGTATGATATTCCTGTCAGTGGCGTAGCGAGGTCGGGTGTCACCCGGTGCGGCACTTAATGTGTCACCCCCCCCCCCCCCCCCCCCCAGAGGCGTAGCGACCCTTCCCGGGGACAAACTTTCAAACTTTCGATTTGCACCCCCCCTCAAGTTTTTCTCTATATATTTTTGCTATTTTTTGCCTTGGTGTCACCCCCCCCCCCCTAATTGGTGTCACCCGGTGCGGTCCGCCCCCCCCTCCCCGCTACGCCCCTGATTCCTGTTTAATTCAATACCTTCGCCCAACCTCCATGGCTGATTTAACATAAAACTTATTACATCAGCAAACTGAGGAAACTATTATTTACAGCTGGTGTAAATGTACGAACGCTGTCAAGTGGGCGCCCGGAGCAAATTTTCCCAACGTAGTCTAAGAGTATTTACGAGGGTGGGCTCTTGATTTTTTTTTTTTTTACTTTTACTCTTGCATGAACAGTAACAATGTTACTTAAACCTAGACGTGTCACGTGACTGTACTAACTAAATAAGCCCTGTTATCTTTACCTGATGCATGGTTAATTAACTTAATCGATCGTGGAAAAATGTCATTAATTTTAAAAAAAATCCTTTTTCTCTTCCTTCCCCCTCTTTTCACCACACGTTACAGAAAAATTCAGACTCCTCTACGTAAAATGTAGATCTACGTCTCACTTCAACAAATTCTCCGCCACACGTGGACTCCGTCACGAACTGCAGGTTTAGTAAATTTACCCTTTTTAAAACTGCAGTCTTTATCTAAACTATAAAGCTTGGTCTAGATTAATTATAGACCTATTAATACGTAATTATTACACAAATAAAATTTCTTAAAAAAATGCGAAATAACTGTTAAACTAAATATTATAAAAAAAAATTAGTGTCAGCTGTCAGCAGACTTTCTTAACTCCCCTTTTTCTAAAGCTACTCCCCCTCTCGTGTGACGTCATTTAAGGTCGGCCCTGATCAATCGTTCGTGTGCTAGACTAGAATCTCTGCCAAACGTTGCATAGTCGCTCTCTCTTATTTCTAATCCCCAATAACGTGTGGGTGGGTGATAGATAGGGGTAGGTGTTGGAGATTTCTCATATCGCAAGATTATGTTCCCTCCTTACACAACTCAGCACCACGCCAGCGAAATACCTGCCATGTTACTACTAGTTTGTACTAATTTTTATCGGTCAAAAAGTCAAGGTCTCGGGAGCAGCGGCACGTAACTCTTGCATCACAGACACACTGGAAAATCACCAAACTGCTTAAACCTAGATCTACGCTTTATTCGCACGACACCAGTTCAGTGAAAGCAGTTCAAGCAAGCAGTTTCGCCGTTAGTTTGTTGTGAGTAGCACTGTGTGTAGTATTTTTAAGCCACTTTATATTTATGGCATATAGACTAGAATCTAGAATCTAAATCTACCTAATGATAATATTTTACAAAACTAAAATAAATGAGTCTCGGCTGCTAATGCCGCTAGCGGCTAATCAAGTATCCAAGTAATCATCGCCATCGCTAGGTTAAATTAAATTAAAGTAAAAACAAAAACACTTGACTTACGACTTACTTCACTTACACTCAGTAACTAGACTCCAGATCTAGTCTAGATCTATCTAGATTCTAGACTAAGACTACTGTAAGATTGTAAGTCTGTAAGTATAAAACTCAGAGTAAACTGGTAATAAACGTTTTCCACAGCTCACTACTTTTGCGCGACGTCAACCTTTATTTAAATTTGAACTTTAATAGATAAAATCTAGATCTAGATCTAGATTCTCTAGATCTAAATCTAGAATGGACCTAGACTCTATTAATATTATATATTTGTTTAAAAAATTGTTAATTATTATGCCTTATATTTTAGGTTCCCAACACTTACTAATTTACTAAGTTATTACTTATAGATCTACTTGTTATACTTATTACTAGGTCTAATATTACTATATTATCACCAATCTAGATAATAGATAATAATAGATATAGATCTAGAATATAAATCTATGTAGTGTGTAGTAGTATTATAGATCTAGATTCTAGTAAATTAGTTACATTTTAATTATTTAGATATTAAGTTCACTAGGCCTATTAAATATAAAGGGTCTCTATAGTACTATAGTTCTTATTCTTTATTACTTTAATATTTATAGCCTATTACTGTAACTTACTATAACTATTACCAAAGTAATCAGTAAGGTCTACCGCTCTCATTATTAAAGTAATGCTTTTGTATTAATTACTATGTAGTATTAGATTAGCTATAGATTCTAATGTAAATATTTAGTTCAAAGAAAGGCAAAAGATAGGGTGCACACATGATCTATCATTGTAATTTTTAATTGGGGGGGGGGAGGGCGAGGAAAGGAATAAAACCCATTTGTACTGTTTGTAATGAAAAGTAACCTATCTTTATAAATCTCCTAACTTTATTATTCATCTGATATATGATTGCTTTTAACATGAAGAAAGTCTCATCATATGCTGATTTTAACATTATTTTATGAATTTACCGTGACAAGTTAAATCATAAATAATACCATTCAAATGCAAAATATGAGTGTTTAGGCAAAGGTGAGAGTGGTACTTTATATTTTATGTGAGGGAATCCATATTCAACTTCTTGGTCAGCATCATGCAAACATTTTACAGTTTAGACACATATTGTCTACTAAAATTGAGTTTCTTTTAATCATACAGTAAACATCCTCAAGACTTCATTAAAAAGTTTGAATGTTTGCCTTATCTTCTTCCACAACTTTAATCATTTTTTGTGTCAATAACAGTAATCATTTAAATTTTTTTACCAAGGGGGAGGCAACAGCCTATTAAAAAAATATTTTAAAAATTATCTGTCCTTGGTATTAACTATAACAGGTAGGCCTATTAAAGACACCAAGGTCATAAAGAATAACTATACAAATAATTTCCTCTTGGTGTTTAGATCACATCCATTTTAAAGGGGAATGATGGGATGATGTAGGGTCTACCCAAAAGACTTAGTGCAGCATCTAGTTTCTTGTTGGAATATTAATCATGGTAACCTCCCCTGTAGGGTTATCCTGCGGATTATCTTGAAGATGTTTAATTTTAAAGGTCACACTGCATGCAGGGCATGCATGATCCTGAGGTATGACAGATAAAATTTAATCTTGACCTCCGTTTATCACACACGTATTATAATAATGTAGGTTAACGAGTATCTATATTTAAACAGGTTTAAACTGCCCCAAAGTGTTAAGATGAATTATGGTTATTTCCTTTAATGATATAAGAAAAAAACTAGTATTTTCCTATTTAACCTGTTGTATGAGTCTGCATTTGTAGCATATTCATTTTAATATATATTTTCTAGTAGAGTTACCTTTTTGAACTCCATGGTCCATGGTGTAAGTGAAGTAGAGTTCACTTGTTTCTGTGACCTTGGCATATGAAGGGATAGTGTGATCAGCACTATGCTCAGCCGCTTAGCATTCCCTAATGTGAGTTTTGTACCCAGTGGAGATGGGTGGACTCAGGGACGTTCTACTGACTTGAACCCAGATTTGAACTCAAGACTTTTGGGTTAGCAGTCTAGTGCTCTACATGTTTTTAGTAGTTCCCAATAATTGCAAATAGTTTGTGTGAAGTTATTTGAAAGATTTTGCTACTTTATGATACAACTTTAAATTTATGATACAAGGAAGAAAAGCTGAATATGTAAATAAAACTGTCCCAGTTTCTGTGAACCTTGTGCTCCAAACAGATTAATATCCTTAGGATTAATTGATAAACTTTAGCCTGGTTTTTTATTTTGGCCCAGTTTTTTTTAGAAGTATTTTGATGGTTGAGAGTTTAAACAGTTATAAGTACAGCTTGTCCAGTGGATTAAACATTTGATTATTTCCAACTTTTCATTGTCTACAAACTAAGTTCATCTTGAAAGTTCATAACTTTGTGTACAACACTGTTGGATTTGGTTAAAATGTAGTAAGTAGAAACTAAGTGCAGAAACACTGACAAATAGGATCAGCTGTTACATATTACACTGAAACTAGGCAGTATAATCAATACTCAGTTTCCTTTCAATAAAAATATTTTCAAGCTACTGAGTAAGTTACAAAGTTATAGGTAAGCATCTGTGCCTTTGGCCTATAAAGCATTTTTGCTGTTATGCTCTAAAGGTTAACTAAGAGAATGCTGTGGTTGAAGCAAACACAGGAATGTATTGTTGAAAAAAACATCCCTGCTATAAAATATCAAGTGTTTTTTGAATATAGTAACTCTCCAAAAATAATTTTAAACTTCACAGTCAACTATGCTTTTTAAAAGAGCCAATGTTATACATTTTTTCTCACAATTAAAGGTGTAATTTACTGTGAATAAATCAGTCACAAGGAATGACCGTAACAAAGGTTTTGTTAAAAAGAGACAAATTAGCATTGTTCTTAGCAAATATGAACTTTTGAGTCTGTTCACACAAGTTCATCTCTGGTTCAAAGGTTTTCTATGTGTACTTTTCCCCATTTGAAGTCAAAGCCTCTAGGTAAATAAACTGATCAGGATACTTGACTTCCTCAAGTTCTTTATCTCTCTCTCCATCCAGGTGGATGCATACACAAATTAATTAGGATAAGTTGAAGTAGTTTTATCAGCCTAACAATTTAATAAACATTTTGTTATCATGCCTTGAGGGGGGATCTTGAAACGTGGGATATCTGCACTTTAAAAAAATGCTGCTATAAATGCAGGACTTAGGTTTAGATTGACACACTTAGTGACCTAAAGTTCACAAGGCTAATTAAGCTCTGTCTAGGTGTGTTTGAGTTTGCATCTTGTCTTGTGCAATTAATGATGTGCTAATTATTTCTTTTAAGGTCTTATTGATTTGTGGAATTTTCTTAATTTTTTTTTTACATGCATAGTTTTAGCTTCTTTTAAAGTTTTTAATATTAATTATATATATATGTTTTTATTAAAATATTTGAAAGATAAAAAAAAAATGGACATTCTTAAAATAGTAGTTATGTGACAATATGTAAACTATGATGAAACACTTTTTAGGGTGTAGTGGTATTAAGATAGCATCATGTATTCAGAAGCATTTGACCATTGATGTTGGGTAAAACGATGTCACAGAGTAAACTCACATTAGCACATTTTTAGAATAAAATCAACTTCTTACAATCCTTGCAGCTCATTACAAACTATATTCTACTCAAAACATTTTTTCAAGACGTTAAACTGTTTGCTTCATAACCCTAAAGTTATATGAATCAATTTCTCAGACAACTGGACTTGGTTATAATCTTAGACTTCAGAAATTTAGTTTATATTACCTTCATACATTCTGTGCTGACATTGACATTGATTTTGTCTGTTTACCACCTTCTGGGAGAAAATATGCATAATCCCCATTGATTTATGTTCATTTTTAAATGATGCAATGTTGAGAAAATTTAAGTGTATATAAATGATTGAAATAAGTATCTTTGCTCAAATATAAGGCTGAACTGAATTGTACTTCACATTTGTTTAGTGTTTTAAATCATAAATATTCAGTTTTATTTCTTGTTATTCATTAATTTATCCTGATATTTTTATAGTGAGTAAATTGAAGATGCTAAGCCAGATACAGAAGCCTTTGCAACATACAGCTGTTGTTGTGACAAGAGCGCTCAGACAACACTCGACCAAAACTGCACCCGCTGTTGGCCCAGTAAAAATTGGATACCCCTCTGAGAAAGTTTTCAACAGAGAGGATAAATATGGAGCCCATAATTACCATCCCATGCCAGTAGCCATTAAGGAAGCCAAAGGTTTGTTGAACACTACCATTTTATTCTATTCATAGTTACATACATTTTCTTTTCCTGTTATTTTTATTTCCATGCAACTTCACAATTCTGAATTTAATTTTTTTTAAAGTTTATTTTTGCATAGCTATGTTATTTACTAAACAAAGTTTAATTAAAATTGACTTCAGGTGTTTTCGTGTGGGACGTTGAAGGAAACAAATACTACGACTTTCTTAGTGCCTACTCTGCTGTCAACCAGGGCCATTGCCATCCCAGAATTATTGCTGCACTTAAGAAACAGGCAGATCTTGTGACATTGACATCCAGGGCCTTTTATAACACCTGTTTGGGAGAATATGAGGAATACATCACAAAATTATTTGGATATGACAAAGTTCTGCCTATGAATACAGGTACTTACATACCTACATTTTGTGAAGGGAGGGCATGGTAGAGTTCAAGTAGCAGAGCATTCAATTACCAACACAAAAGCTTTGAAGGGTATCTGCCTCTAGTAAGAACAAGTAATGGTAGTTGGACATAATGCTAATGACACAATACTTCTGATGCTGTAGTAAAATTTATCAGTGAACTGCATCTGCATCATGGATTTAAGAAGTGAAATAGTACTTGCATTCAGTATTTAATAAATGTAATTTTTATTAATATAACATTAATATTTATTATTAATATTTATCATATTTATAATATAGGCCTACATTAATAATTTATTAATATAACATTAATATACTTGTATAACATATAAATAAATACTTTAATTTTGTTTACAGTTATTGATTGATGAAACTTTGATCTGCAGGTGTTGAAGGAGGTGAAACTGCTTGTAAGCTGGCTAGAAAGTGGGCCTACAAGGTGAAAAAAGTGCCAGAGAACCAAGCACGCATCATCTTTGCTGCTGGGAATTTCTGGGGGAGAACTCTTGCTGCTATTTCTTCATCCACTGATCCATCCAGTTACAAGGATTATGGACCTTTCATGCCAGGATTTAGTGTGGTACCTTATGATGATCTGCAAGCCTTGGAGGCAAGTTTGTATTCATCTCACTGTTTTTCCTTTAAAAGTTGAATTACATTTTTTCCTGAAACAAAAAATTAGCTGGCTAAAGTAGTTTTTCTGCTTAACTGAGGCAATTTTGTGATCAGCAAAATGCTGAGTGACCAGTGAAGTTCTCCTTTGAGCCTTAATGATCCATAGGGCAGTTGAAGTACAGCTGCTTTTTTACCCCAGCATATGTGGTTAGCTATATGCCCAGCTGCCTTTACGTCCCTTAATCTTGGTCAGGTACCTATCAGAGCGGGGTTCACCCAGGGATGTCCTGCAGGTTCAACTCTGGACAGAGATCCGAACTCAAATCCTTTGGGTTTGCTATCAAGCTCTCTACCATATGACCATGCCATCCCCTCCAGTCACCAGTACATTATTTTAAAGTCGGCGCTTATCCCAGTTAGGTGGTTTAACTGGTGTTTTGGAGACTCAAAGCAGTAAAACCAATCTGTCAGGAACTTTACTCTTGACAACACTGTCAGCCACTTAAACTGTTTTCTTTTTTAACATGCTGCGTGTACAATACAAATTAATTTTTCAGGTTTACTTATTATTAAGATCCACAACACTAATTTATGAAGTTTTGTATCTCATTAGAAAGAACTCCAGGACCCAAATGTTTGTGCATTCATGTTTGAACCCATCCAAGGGGAAGCTGGTGTGGTTGTGCCAAAAGATGGCTATTTAAAGGGTGTGAGAGAGTTGTGTACCAAGTACAATGTCCTAATGGTGGCTGATGAAGTGCAGACTGGTCTTGGGAGGACAGGAAAGTGAGTACTCATGTCATTGGCTGTCTGGTTGCTGTTAATTATATTTGGACTGTTAAAATTTAATTCAAATTTTTAATCTGATCTAGTACTTGTATTTTTCTGATAGAGAACTGGGATAAAATAAAAGTTTTCTATCCTATGCTAATCTCAGTTATAACAATGTCATTCTGTTATTTAACTTAAATATATTGTAGCAGGTATTTCTTCCTTAACTAAATTTTCATTCAGATTAATGTAAACACTTTAAAAAAAAGTGACATAAACATTATTAAATGGAACAATTTTTATTTCTCCTAATTGAAAGTCTCGAGTGTAGTATCTTGTCTGTAGGCTATACAGTTGTAGAAACAAATAACAGTCAGCACCAAAACTAATTTATTTAATTAAATGTATTTTAAAAGGTTAACAGTATATTTTATAACTAACTGGTCCTGTCTATGTTGCAGACGGTTGGCTTGTGATCACGAGAATGTTCGTCCTGACTTGGTTATTCTTGGCAAAGCTCTGTCTGGTGGAGTGTTGCCTGTAAGTCTTGTCAATAGTTTTTTACCTAATACATTTTTTAGACCTTACTGAAACGCAGATTAAATCTGATGGATAAAATGTACAAAAGTTTGGTATTTTAGTGTTTTTTGTTGTTGATAAATATAGGTATACTATTGACTAATTTACTAACCTGCTTGTTTTTAACAAGGGAAATAACTTGTATAATTGTTTCCCTTCATTATTGTGTTTGAGTTATTCTACCTCGTTGAAACCAAACACTGGTATTGATAACTTTCCATTTCAAATTTTTAAGGTTAACTTTATCACATTTTAGGAAAAAAATAAAACCTTAATATCTAACCAATTCATTGAAGGCTGTATTTTTTAAAAAGAAAAATATTCCAACATTTGAAAATATTTTATTTTTCTGCTCTAGGTTTCAGCTGTCCTGGCCGATGATAAAGTGATGTTGACCATCCTACCCGGTGAACACGGCTCAACATTTGGTGGAAACCCATTGGCTTGTAAAGTTGCACTTGAATCTTTGCAGGTAAATTCATTTACACCTTTTTAAAATTCCAGCCAGGTAACAGAAAATAAATTGTTTTTACACTTTGTGTAGTGTTTAGTACCTCTGCCTTTAAATGTAATGAAATCATGGCATGTTGTACAGTTTTATTTCTCTTAAAAACATTTTAAACTGTTTGATTAGATCTATTTTCCTTTTTAACATTCTATTCCCTACTTGGAAATTATAAGCTAATTGTAGAAACATATTTACTGTGAAGGTACTGGAGGAAGAAAAGTTGGCAGAGAATGCAAAAAATCTGGGTGAGATTTTGAGGAAAGAGCTCAGGAAATTACCTAAGGATATTGTCAGCCTTGTTAGGGGGAGGGGCCTGCTCAATGCTATAGTCATCAACTCCAGTAAGTTTCTTGTCTCTTATCACCAAAATAAAATACATTTTTTAAAAACTTTTATTTTATAACATATTAACAACATGGGATGTATGTTTCAATAATTCATCTATCAGATACATTGTTTAGATTACTATGTATTGGATAAAATATTCATTTAATGACCATATACGGTTTACAATGCATATGTGTATTTAAAATATTCATTTAATGTCATGTATTGTATGATTATAATGTATTGGATGTGTGTTTAGAATGTTTATTTACTGTCCACTTATTATTCAGATTACGATGCATGGGACGTGTGTTTAAAGCTGCGCGACAACGGACTGCTGGCCAAACCAACCCACGGAGACATCATCAGATTTGCCCCACCCCTCGTCATCACAGAGGACCAGTTGAGAGAGTGTATTGACATCATTTCCAGGGTGGTTGTTGCCTTCAAGTAGAGCCAGACCTGTTGGTCATCCAAGTTTGGAAGCATTGAGTGTAGAAACAGTGGCAGATAGTGCTGGGCTCACCTGTAGATGTTATCTGAGTGGCGTGAAGAGTTGACTAGCTCATACCTAGAAAACATATAACGTGACCAATGCAATATTGTATTCTTTTTGTGATTATTTGGAGTATTTATTAAGTTTAAATGCTATATATTTGTCTCTATTTATGACTGCACATTACTCGTGTCATTTTTCATCATTTAATTTTGTTTCAGATGATTATCTATTTTATTTCTTTCAAATGTTTCGTATACCTGAAGGATGGTATTTTACAATCATAATGTTTATTCTAATTGTCTTTCCTCTGATAATGATCTCCAATGTCAACAAATATTTCACATAGGGCTATATATATTGTTATGGTTGTGAACTTATAGTGGTTGGCTAGTATCAAGTTTCATGAATTATTAAAAGTCACTAGTTATTTCTCTTAACAAACTAAAGAAAATTGTTCTGGTAAATTTAATCCATAATAACAGCCAGTATAAATCTGTAAATATGCTCTAACATATAAATAATCTGTACAAATTGCCTAGTTTAATTAGTTCTGTACAGTTCCAAGTTGTTAAAAGGAAATTTAACCTAAAGAAGGAAAAATGACTTTTTATTGTATTTTAGTCAGAAATCGTGATAATTTATTATTTTACTTGTACATTTAACCCCAAATTTATTCAAATTTGAAATTCTTCTTCAAGTGAAAATTGCTTCAGACTTTGGTATTTAGCTTTACAAATGGTTGTTTTGCTTTTTTTGCCCGTTTCTTTTACAATGGTCTATTAACTTTAAATCATGTGCTTTTCCAATAAATCCTTAAGAGTTTAACAGAATTTTATCCAATTTGAGATTGTTATATAATCTAAATTTGATTATCCACTTTGTGGTTTGTTTGAATTGATATGTAACATATCTTTTTGAGATCAAAGTAAATGTATTTTTTAAATACTTATAGTCTGGTTGAAGTAAAAACATTCCAGGTATAACATGCTAATTTTGATAATTTTTTTCTAAGTACTAATTTTTCGTAATAAGTAGGTCGTTGTGAAATAATTCTATGAAAACCTGGCTATCTAAAATTTAGAAATAAGTTGTTTAATGAAGATTACGCCTTAGTTATAAATATGTTGTCTTAGTTTTGTAAATATTTCAAAGAATATTGAAGAGCTTTAAATTTTTTTTATCTTTATCTTTAAATTTTACAATATTATTTGTGAAAATGTATAGAAAGATCTGTAGGCACTTGCTGAAGTTAATAATTTCTTTAAGTTTTCTAAGTAGGCTGCAAAATAGGAAGCGAATTCGACATTTTAATTTATAATAAACTAAAACTTTAGATAAAATTTAATTTATTTCATGCAATGTTGCTGTTTTCACCTTTCGATTATATATATTCATTGATTGGCTTTTTGTGTACAGACTTTTGACTTTAAGTTCTTGGTTTTTGTTATCAAACAAACTGCTTTATGGAATTTGGGAGATAAAAGAACACAAATTCAGTATTATTTGACTATTTAAATTTACGTTGTAATTTTTAAAAAGTTGGCAGTTAAAATGTTTTTTGTATAGTTTAAAATACTACAATAGATAAGAACTTGCTCAATAAGCATGTTAACATAATATTCAAGGATTTTGTATATATTTTTGACGAAGAAAAAACATTTAAGCAATATCTACAGATTGTTGCTTCAGGAATAAAATATTTGTATTCATTTTACATGCTTCCTATAATTTTGAATACCTAAATTTATAAAATAAAAAAACTACAATTGATTCTACACTTTTAAATGTTTCAAAATGGGAATGAATTAGGTAGGCAGTTTTGTTGATATTATATCTCCACTTGTGTGATATTAGAGTTGCATTTATTCCAATATAAAAACATATCTCTATTGTTTGCAAACTATGATAATATAACAGTAATTCATAACCAGATTGAACAAACTTGTTCCTTTTACATTTTGTAATGTATTGCATAACTTATTAAAATTCTTACAAATGGTACTTAAATTGCAGCCGCTGAATACTGTCACTTATACTAGAACCTAAATGCTATACCTTTTAGTTAATATAACCCTAATAATTTTTTTGTTCATCATTTGACTTGTTTTGGAACCTGAAAATGTTTATTAAGTTTTGAACAGAATTTATTTTAAAAATCTCTTTGATTCAATTAATTCTTTCACAAAGCTGTGTGCCAGTCAAAAATAAAATGCACTTGATTGTGAAACCTGAAGTGTAAATTTTCAGTTCTCAAGAATTTCTTCACATAGAGTGATATGTTTATTTTTTAAAGATGTGGTAAACTATGAGTGTCTTGATTTTTACTTGCACAGCTCTAAGATGCAGAAGTCTTGGTGTGAAATCTAAGAACTGAACAGCTTAGGTTTGAAATGTTGCTTGAAGGTAGATAATAAAAATTGATATTTAAAGTTTATTTTTGTGTCATTGCTGTCATGTGTTTAGGTCCTGTGAACTGTGCTGGTCAGCTGATTAGGTAAGTTTTCCCTTTCAAACCTGACGGTCTATGGGGCAAGTAGAGTTCACTTGTTTCTGTGACCTCGGCATATGAAGGGATAGTGTGGTCAGCACTATGCCCAGCCGCCTTTACTTTCCCTAACGTGAGTTAGGTCCCATCGACGGTCTACTAACCTTAACCCAGATTCGAACTCGAGACTTACGGGGTAGCAGTCGAGCTGTGTACCGCTAGACCACTCCGTCAGCTGATTAGGTCCTGTAAACTAAGAGGTCATGAAGCTGAAGTTTAGAATACATAGATCATGTAGTGTAGACAAAAGAATATCAGATTTTGGAAACCCAGTTGGTTTTAAGGTTGTTGGGTAGAACAGGTTGGGTCATGTAGACTAAAGAAGTCTGGGGCTTGTGGAGAACCTCAAGAGCTAGTAATCTAAACCATGGATCTACCTGCCAACTATCTTCAATCCCCCCTCATCAATGTGTGATTGGCCATTTGGGAATATTAAAGTTAGGGTTATGTTAAGGGCTAAGGAGGGTGATGTCGGTTCTCCTTTTGTGGAGTTTTGTGAAATCGAATGTATATGGGTATCTGTGTAGAAGGTGGGATCGTCCTTATTGGACTAATTCAATGCAGTTTTGGTCATGGCTGAACAATAGACGCTAGTGGGCCTTTGTTTATATTAAATTTCAAAAGCAGTTATTTGACAATTTTATATTAGCAGAGGTAAAAACTGCAAATCAATCTTAGAGGTTTTTTTTTTAATTGGTAAATAAATATCACTAAAGTTTCACTATATATATAATTTTATAAATAAAATCGTTATGTGAATTGTTAATTGTAAAGGTAAAGCGGTGTATCATATTTTATGGTTTGGTTGTTTGCCTTAGTGATCATGAACAATCAAGGCAACCTTAGTTCAGCTGTCATTTACTTACAGACAGTAAGCTTATCTGTCGCATGAACATAGTTATATTATTCGTCATACTTTATAAGTAATTATAAGCAGATCAACAACAAATAGTTTGAACTCAATAACGATTACAAACTTAACCAGATTTACGTCATTATTGTGATATAATCATAAGGGTTTGTTTTTAAATGATATACACGAATAAAAAATTAAATAAAAGAAAATTCATTTTTTAAACATTTTAAACTATAGTAATTTTTTTGATTACCCATTTTAATGAAAAGAACAAAATTAACATAAATTAGTTATATTTTTGAAACCCGTATTTTTTAAAAACTTGTTTTATAAATTACTTCCCTTTAATATTATTTCAGGTTTGCCAAAAATAAGTTTTAATTTCATTCGGGGAAAAAAAACCCAACATTATTTCCCTTTAGTTTAGAAGCATCAGAACTGAGGTAGATTGACAAACAATGACGAGAAGCCGCGTTAGTGTTAACAATCTTTATTTACAGACGCCATGATGCAAAGAGAGGAAGTGAGTGGCGAGAGAGAACTATTTATAGATAACAACATGTAAGGGACATCACTCAAGATAACAATATAAATATAATACTAATACAGAAGAGTGAGTTCCCTTGACCTCACAATTATTTCAATCTATTACATCCCTTTACCCTTAGAACACAATAACACATCTCTCAATAGAACAATTGATAGTATCCTAAAATCACCAATTATATTGTAACATGAACACTATGGTAGATTACATCCTTACAAACAATGCACAATATGCTACAACATAATCAAGATACAAAACAATGATGTCAAAGTCCTTTTTGACCTTTAAAATCATAGGTCTAACTGATTTGGGACTTTGATTGTCCTGCTTGACCTTCTCAGTAGCTTTTGATTTGGTGACTCAAGATTCTGACCATCTGGATTCTCTATCTCAGGAGGTCTAGGATTTAAATCATTAACTCCAGAATTTATATTTTCTGACTCCAGACAACTTGGTTCACTCATATCAACAGAACTTGATTGTGGAACAAACTGAGTTGATGTAAACTGTTCAGATTTGGTGGGATTGACAGATTCACACTTATTATCTGCACAAGTTATTTTTAACTTTATAAGGCACAGGTCCTGTACATTGAACAATTTGACCTGGTATCCATTTTTCCTTTCTCCCATAATTTCTTAGATACACATTCTTATTAACACCAAATTCTCTTTCAATGCATGAGTTGTCATGATTTAATGGAACTATTTTTGAATTGGCATCTGAAAGTATTAAATGGCAAAAATCTTTTTTCTTTTCTTTTGATGTTACCCTTTTAGTTTCTGTAAGTGCTAATGATGTTAGCAAAGTTGTTTGATGATCACATTCCTTCTTACTAATGTATTCTCTTTAAAACATTTGAAATTGCCATATCACCATAATCATTTATTAAGTTACAAATACTTTGTTTAGGCAACTCTGACTGATAATGGACTGCATCTTCTCCATCTTTTATATTATCTTCACAAAGGGTTTTTAATTTCTTATTTTATATGGCCTTAAGTCATCATTCACAGACTCTTCAGGCCAACCATTCATACAGTACTCATATATTTTTATTAAGCACTCATCTTTTTGTGTTTCTCTTTTAATATCATTCACATTTATATTGGAGTTATCCATGATAGTGAAGAGAACAAATACATCTTCTGGTACATAGCTCAGGCTTTGGTTTTTTAAAGGTAATCTACTAAGACTATCTGCACTATTTTCAGATCCAGGTTTGTATTTCAATTCATAATTGTATGCAGTTAGTGTGATAGCCCATCTTTGAATTCTTGGAGAGGCATGCTCAGGTAGGGTTTTGTTTTCTCCAAATAAACCTAGCAATGGTTTATGATCTGTAAAGATGGTGAACTTCCTACCAAACAGAAACTTATGAAATTCCTTAACACCAAAAATGATGCCTAAGCCTTCCCTATCTAACTGAGAATAATTTTCCTCAGCCTGGTTCAAAGATCTACTGGCAAAAGCAATGGGTCTGTCACCCTTCTCATCCATGTGGGACAAGACTGCTCCTACACCATCTGGTGAAGCATCACATGTTAATATAAGTCTTTTCCCTGGGTCATAGTGAGTTAGTAAGGTGTCAGCAGACAAAGCCTCTTTTGCTGTATTAAAAGCAGCTTCTTGTTGTTTACCCCAGTGCCAAGTTGCATTTTTCTGTAGCAGCTTGTACAGTGGTGATAGTTTACCAGACAGATTTCCTATGAACTTTGCATAGTAATTTATTAAGCCCAAAAAAGCTCTTAGTTGTTGGGTATTTTCAGGTTTGGGTGCTTCTTTAATGGCTTTTGTTTTCTCAGGTTGAGGTCTGATGCCTTGCTTGCTTAATATATAACCAAGAAAACTAATTTCTGTCAACATGAATTGACATTTATCTTTGTTTATCTTTAAACCTTTTTCACCAACAATTTTCAATACTTTATCAAGTGTTTTAAGATGTTCAGTGTCATTCTTACCAGTTATGTACACATTGTCAAAGTACACACAAACATTTGGAATATCCTTAAAAATACTGTCCATGACAGCTTGGAAAATTCCAGGGCTGGATGATATGCCAAAACATAGTCTTTCATATTGGTAGAGTCCTTTATGTGTGTTTATTGTCGTATAGACTTTTGAATCTGGATGCAGTTCTAGTTGAGTGTAAGCATGACTAAAGTCTAATTCAGTGAATTTGTCTCCTCCTGCCAAATTCAAAGAGATTTCCTCAATGTTAGGTATAGGGTACCTATTTAGCTCTATTTGCTCATTCAGTGTAGTTTTGTAATCTCCACAAATTCTTATAGAACCATCCTTCTTTAACACTGGCACAATGGGTGTCGCCCAATCGGAATAGTCTACCTTCTTTATAATGCCATTAGATTCCAATCTACTTAGCTCATTTTCAATTTTATTCCTCATTGCATAAGGTGGAGCTCTAGCTTTGCAGTATCTTGGATTTGTGTCTTTAATACTTAACTTCACTGTTCTATCATTTAGTAATCCTGGATTACCAAAAACACATTTATTTTCAGATATAACTCTATCTAGTGAAGTAAGACTAGATTCTTTTACATTCTTCAATGAACAAATACTCTCCCAATTTAACTTAAGATCACTTAACCAGTTTCTACCTAGTAATGGTGGTCCATTTCCTTCAACCACAAGAAGAGGAAGTTTAACACTTTGACCATTATAACTTACATGAACCATACACTCTCCTATTACCGGAACATTGTCACCAGT